ATGTTTCCTTTTACAGCTTTGTGAAATCAGTGGAATTCCTTTGGAAGATATTGAATTTGCGAAGGTAAAGCCCTGAGAATGTTTGCATCTGGTTACTAGTGCTCAGCAAGCATGGTTAAGGGCATGATTTATTCATTCCACCTTTTCTCCTTAGGGTAGAGGAACTTTTCCCTGTGATATTTCTGTCCTTGATATTCATCAGGATTTAGACTGGAATCCTAAAGTTTCTACCCTGAACGTCTGGCCTCTTTATATCTGTGATGATGGTGCAGTCATATTTTATAGGTAACGTTCACAATGTTTTTTTATTTCTAGTGATACAACATTTTTGCTGTGTGTTAACTGTCTTGTTGTTCATTAATGCCTTTACTGTTGTCGTGATAGAGAGCAGACATGCAGTGAGAGCCACACATTTCATGTTGAGAGTTTCTAGTGGCCACATTTTAAAAAGTAATAAGGAACAGATTAGATTAATTTTAATAAAATATTTTCATCCCGACATGTCCAAAATATTATGAGTGCAACCTGTAGTAAATATAAAAAATCATTTATGAGATATTTTACACTTTTTTTCTTATAGTAAGTCTTATAAATATTGTGTGTGTGTTACACTTGCAGCACATTTCAGTTTGAATCAGGCACATCTCAAACGTTCAGTAGGCACATGTGGCTACTGGCTGCTATGTTGGACAACACAGATGTAGAGGGAAAAGAAGTCACTGGAGCATGGCAAACACGGGTTCAGATTTAGTTCTGTTCTTTACCTAGTTCCTCATCTGTCAAATGGTGACAATGATGTCAGCCTTGCAGGATTTTACGAGAATTCGAGCTATTAACTGCATTTCTAAAAACTGACTCCTGGCCTCTTACAAATAGATGTTTTGGAAATGATAGCTATAATGCTGATAATAACATGGAAATTACTCTCTGCCCTTTTTGGAAGTGAGTGCTATATTAATATGATAAACACATTCAAAATCTGTATCTTAGTATATAAGATTATTTAATTACACTGGTGACACCAGATTTCGTTTTCTCACTGAGGAGCATTATAGCATTCAAGCATAAATTAATAGGCATGTGGCTATACTGGCCTAATATGTCATTAATATTTTAAATGTAGGGATAAAACAGAAGAATTAATGGAGTTGACAGATGAGCAAAGAAATGAACTGATGAAAAAAGAAAGCAGTCGACTCCAGAAGACAGGACATCGTGTAACATACTCACCCCGGAAAGAGAAAGCACTAAAGATCTATCTGGATGGAGCACCAAATAAAGACCTGACTCAAGACTGACTCTGCTAGTATAGCATTTTCCCTGGGGGATTTTTGGTTTTCATTAGACGGTTCACTGCTACTGTGTAGTGCCATTATGGCCGGACATGGTTAGGGGTAACCCATGACACCAGCACTGATTGGACGGCCCTTCACCAATCAGAAGCTCAGTGCCCAATGGGCCACTGTTTTGACTTGGAATCATGTTGTGCACTATAGTCAAATGTACTGTAAAGTGAAAAGGGATGTGCAAAAAAATAAAAACAAAAAGCAAAACCTGCTACTAGAAAAGGGGGAAGGGGGATGAGTAAACGTCTTTTATTGCGGACAAATGTGCACATAGCCGCTAGTAAAACTAGCCTCAAACAGGATGCTCATAGCTTAATAATAAAAGCTGTGCAAAGGCCATGAATGAATGAATTTTCTGTTTATTTCACTGATACACACATTACCTCATTGACAATTCGGAAGTAAATGCAACGTGTGTTGACTCTTGGAAAGCAGCAAAAGTAGGAGCTGAAGAAAGAAATTCTTAGAACCAGCCGTAACCCAGTAAAGAATTGTGAAGTTGTGTTTTTATTTTGTTTCATTTTTTGCAAAGTATAAAGAACATTATTCTGGAACATCAAAACGTTTCCCTTAGACCGCTCCCAGCAGGTGGCAGCTCAGATTGCTGAATATTGTAATTATAACTGATTGTATACTTAAGTTATGGATGTAGAGAATACGTTTCACACGTTCATTCAGCATGTAAATAAAATTGATCCTATTGAGTTATCATAATTGCAGTTCACCTATTTCCCATGGTTGTTCTTTTCACATGTCATTCATGACGTACATTTGTGTACATTGAGAAGTGTAGCAGTCTGTGTAAATGTAATCCTCAGTGAGGTTCCTCAGTGCTGGGTCCCATACGATTGTATTTGCCCTTGTTAATGAGGTTTTTCTGTTCAGCGGCTTCAGTTTTATTTCTTCTTGTACATTTATTTTTAAAGATTTACTTCAAGTTTGAATCTTCTAGAACCCTTATAAGTCCCACTTTAATTTTTGGAGTTGATTTGTAGTTACATGTAGTTTAACTTTGGGGAAACGTCTTAACATTGTGTTGAATAAACTTGCTAGTAAGTCAGGTCATACATAGCACAGGCTGATGCAGTCAACATGATTTCATTGCAAAGTCTATTAGAGTCGGCAAGTTTTTGCTTAGCTAAATACAACTATTCAATGAACACAATTATACGTAAATTTTGAAAATGCCATCTAATTTATAAAAATCAATATAAAGGTTTTGGTAAAACTTTTTCATGCCAGATGCTGTTTACAACGATGAACATGCCAATAAAACATTTGTTCGTTCTGTTGTGTTATTTTAGTCATTAAATTTTTGTGGATAAAGAATCTGGGTTAAGAATAGATTTGTTTTCTTTAAACATAACATTTTATAATGTGTATTGAATAATTATTTGTATGATAAGGTATGTTTACAGTGAAGTTTTCATGAGAGATGAAAAGATGTTAGTATTTAACTTTCGAGGATCCTGTCAATATTGCAAAATCAGATTTTTACCCTTTTTTCCTTTTAAGAAATGTGTAATTAGAAAATAGTATTAGCAGATGTTGGCTCTGCAGTTAGAATATAATGATTGAGAATTCCATACCTTAAAAGCCTCTTGGAATCCACAAAGAAAAAATTTTTCTAAGGTATTTTTCTGGCTAATTTTTATTCCATGTGAGCTATGCAGCATTCTGCGCAATTTCAAATACTGTTCTGAGTTTGCATTATTGGGATTGGTGGTGTTCACAGGAAAGCTGGAAGCATTTGCGATGAGTGGTCTTTCGGACCCCTTTGGTGTTCTGATGTAATGTGGCAGCCCTTTGACTCTGATAAAAGCCTGCTTACTTGGGACATGGGAGTTAATAAACTGTGCTTCTGCCTTCAAGGAATGACTGACTGTGGAGCAAAGGAGGCCTATTTGTAAACAGAATGGGCTGTGGGCTGGTTCGGTTTAGTTTGGTGTTCTTGTAAGACTAAATGGTAAAATTCTTACACCTACCCCTCATTTTGTGCATTCTGCCCTGTTTTGTGTTGTGTTTGCTACTTCTAATTGCAGGCATATTACAAATACCAAGAGAAAAAAGACATTTCGTTATAGAAAAGAAAAAGTTAGAAGTTCTTGCTTCTCAGTGCCTGATAGAGTGAAAACACAATATTTCACTTCAGTAATTTCAGTAAAGGCGGTGGTGAACTTTTCTAAGTGGGTTTGTGGCCATGCGAGGGACTTGCATGTATGTGTTAGCCCCTCTCCGATTCAAAGGATTCAAGTGAGCACCTCTGAACCAAGAGGCAGAGCACTAACCGTGGATCAGTACCCAAGCCAGGGGGGGTGGAGCCTGCTGATCACTCATCTGCGGAACCTCCCCAGGCTGAGGCAGGCCACATGCAGTGAATTGTGACTCTGCTCCCCACAGGTCACGCCAAGGTTTTGAAGCGCTTTTACTGTGGGGCAAATGGATTTGTGTCAACCAGCACGCCCTATGAGAACCAAATACCTACATTTCTGAGGCAGGTGTGAAAGGTGAGGGGTGCAGTCTGGCCAAAGAAGCAAAAGCTATGGCTTCAGGACCACGGTGTATTTACCTGTCTAGCCAGAAGTCTGCTTCTCAAAGTAAGGGGTAGCAGTCACGATGAGATAAAAATAGCAAGTGAAGGAGCCCCACTTTAGAATGTTTGGTGATCTTTTGTAGTGTATTGGAAAGGACTTTAAAATTCTGAGAAAGCAGGGGTGAACCTATGTCACTGCTAGCAAGTAGTCAAGTAGCTCTTGGTTGCCAGGCTGCACTGTTAGGAATGGAAATGTGACACATCTCTAGGCCAGGAAAGGAGAGAACTGCAAACTTACAATGTGGTCTAAGCGAAATGAGTGCGCAGCATAGAGCACTGCAGTGTTACTGAATCTGGACCTGTGAATGTATGGAATACAATAAAATCTTTTTTTCTGGTTCATTTGCTAGTATTTCCTTTTCAGTTGGCTACCATAGTTCTCCCTCTGAATTTTGTCCTTTTGTTCAGCATCAAGACCCTAAACAACTCTTTTGCACTTGGGACTTGCAAATTGTTATCCAGAGTAAATGGAATAGAAGAGAATCTGAGTTAGCAAGGTTTTTTTATTTTGTTTCGTTTTACTTTTTTGCTAAATAAAACTATTCCACCTAAACAATTCTGTGTAATTTTTGAAAAAAATATTTTGGTCACTAGCAAGTGTGTATGTATAGTTTTCTAGGAGGTTAGTAAAATGTTCTATTAAGTTTGTAAAGGAGTTTGTGGCCCAAATAAAGCTCGTAGCCACTTAGCACATGAAATCAGATGCTCCTTCCGTGTCTCACATGCGTAAGAGGGGCAGTGTGATCATATCATTAGAGACAATGTTAGTTTTCAAAACTTGGCTTTGAGAAAACAATAGTTAGCAAAATCAAGAGTGCATTAAAGTGTGACCATTTAGAAAAGAACCTAGCAATCACCAGGGCCAAGCTAGGAAGGCAGAAAAAGCACTGGGGTGGAATCCTCTGCCCTTAGCCCCCACCAGCTAATCGACAGAAGCTGGCTTTTTGATTGGTCAGAGCCTGAGAATTCATTCCACCAGGAATTACTGGGTTGTCAGAAAAGTCATGAGGCATTTTTGCAATGAAAAACAATATGTCATGACTTTTCCGACAACCCAATATTAGTGGACACTGTAGCCTAGCTGGACAGGTGGGGACCACACTCCCCCTTTGCTTTCTTTGCTGCCAACATTAATTCACCTTCTCCCAGTTCAGAGGGCACAACTAGTTTTCAGCCTCTTTTATAATGCCTAAGTAATGCATTTAAGGAGTATCAACTTGAGATACAAATAGGCAGTGCCTCTGTTTTTCCAGTAACTGCCAGTTGTGTTCTGTTGAATGCAGTTTCCTACTGGAAGTGGGTTCTCATCAAGCTCTCAGTGCAGCCCTATAACATTTAGGTCACTGCATTATTATTATTTTTTCTTTTTTAGCTGAGCCATCCTGCCACCTGTTGGTAGCTCAGCGGCAGCTCAGCTCGGGCTGGGAATCGAACCGGCAACCCTGTTGCTCAGAGCTCACATTCTTGAGCAAGCTCTAAACCAAGTGAGCCACTCAGCTGGCCCAGGTCACTGCATTATTAAAACAATCTCATCTTATGGAAGTTTCAGTCATTTGGTTCAAAGGTCCCCCGCCACCACCCCACACACTGCCCACTCGATGTGCTGCTCTCAAGAGGAAAGAAGGGTCAGCGCTGTCACTCTCCCCACCCACTCTTCCTGCACCTGCTCTATGGACGGACAGTGGAAGAGGTAAGGAAGAGGGAAAGACACTTCTTTACAGGCACAGCCTCCTATTGGTGATGGTGAGGTTACTGTCCCCTTTTATCTGATGACTGTAAATTCACTATGAAGACTCCTACCAGCCAAGGACACAACTCCCAGCATTGGTGTTTCGTTATGAAACTTGGCTCTCTCTTGCCAGCCTCCTGTTGTTGACAAGAGGCGTTCTTCTGAAATCTATGTCTCATGCTGCACTGGTCCCCACCAAGTGTTCGACCGTTTTTTCATCTTTCTTCCATACCACTATCTCAGGATGTGAGTGCTGCCAGAATCCATCCTTTTTGCCTCAACTCCCCCCCCCCCGCATGCGCGTAGCTGCTCCAACAAGCCACCTCTCCCTGATGCTCCTCCTATGGTAGATAAGGTGGCAAGTCAGGGTGTCTTGTGGCTTCTGCACAGCCACCTCCCTACCCCGTGATGTGTCTCTTTTAACAGGTTTTTATGAGTTTCTCTTAAAGTTCTCCCCATGAGTTTTAGTCAACGGAATAAGTCTAATTTCCCCTCCTTCATGGGGGTTCAACCAGGGAATACCATTTTTCACACACTGCAATCTCCCAAAAGGGGATTTCTTCCCCGCTGCTAGTTTATATGGAGCAGCTGTGCTGCCACTGAAGTGGCGCCTCTCAGCAAGCCCTGTACTTAGCTCCACAGCTATTGGCCCCCCTGAATTTGGAACCCAGTCTAGCTATCAAAAAGTTAATCCCAGAATAATCTAGTTGCATTTCTTGACTAGCTGGAGGGGATGCACAGACCATAGGAACACTTACTGCCCCCTTTCTAATCCCACCCACTTCCCTCGCACCACAGTAGGGCCCCTTGCTTCTCTCTTCAACTCTCATCCTTCTGCCCTGCGTCCCTTTCTCCCAACTGTCTGTGTCAAAAGCCTAAAGAACCAGGTTAGTGAGGCAGGGAAAGCCAGACACTTGGAGGAGAAAACAGAGGGAGAAGGAACTGAACAGGAAGAAGGGGAGCTGGAAAGAGCAGCGACCACTTATGTCCCATCACACACCCTGTTCCTTCTGAGGCAATGTGGGTGGGCAGTCCCCCATTCTCGTCTGTGTGAAAGGTCAGGGTATAGACTCAGAGCCTGCACCTCATGCTCAAACATTTCATTTTCTAATTTTGAGTTTTCCAGAGCTGTACATTGGGGGTGGGAAAGCGGGTGAGCTGGGATTCATAAAGTTGTATTCTGTTCCCCTTTTGGCTATAGTCATGATGCAAATATCTCCTATAGATCAGTTAGGAATGCTTTGGGCTTCAAATAATGGAAAGACTAACAGCGACTTTACCTGTAATAATCTTAGCGGTTTACTTGAAAAGAAGTCCAGATATGGTTGATAGCAGGATAGCTTTCCTCCCCAATGTCAGCAAGGACTCAATCTTATTCTTTTGTGGTAGGCAGAATAATGACCTCTGAAAGAGGTGATTAAGGCTAAGGACTTTAACATGGGGAAATTATTCTGGATTATCTAGGTGGGCCCAATCTATTCTAATGTGTCCTTAAAAGTGGAAAACCTTTCCCAGCTGCAGAGAATCAGAGAGATTTCATTCAAAAGGGGCCTGACTTGTTATTGTTGGCTTTGAAGATGAAGGGGAGCCATGAGCCAAGGAATGAGTGACCTCTAGAGGCCATCAAAGGCAAGGAAATGTTTTCTTCTCCAGTGAAGAACGCCGCCCTGCTGACACCACCTTGATCTTGATCATGTGATCTGACCACAAGATGGCTGCCACAGTGCCAAATGGCACACCCTAAACCCTTGGACTGAAAGGCAGGAAACCAGGGAAGCGGGTAGAGGGAGGGGGTCTTCTTCCTGTACGCTTCTTTCCTTTTGTCACTCAAGAAAAAATCTTGTCCAGAAACTTTGGCAGTCTTTCCCTTACATTTCCTGGGTCAGAGCTCGGTCATGTGGCCATCCCAAGCTGCAAAGAGGGGCAGGGGAAGGGGGGGCTGGCTTTTCCAGACTCTGTGGTGGTGCGAGAAGGGAAAGAAAAGAGGGTTGGGAATAGCTGTAGGTAGCTGAAACGACAGTGTCTACCATGGGCTCCTTGGCAAGAACTCTGGATTCCAGAGACAGGCAGGCAGTACGATCAAGTACCAGACTTCACCTAACCCTTATAACCACATTCCATTTAAAACTGTGAGTACAGGAGCTGTGTCAGCCACTCTGTATGTCAGTTTCAGCCAAGTATTTTGCAAAGCCTCTCATGTGCTTACATTTTTGTGGCTATGGTGACAAAGTGGAACAAGGCTCCCTGGCATCTAATAAAGGACCTGACATATAGTAGGTGCTCAGTAAATTTTTTGATTGAAATATTTTCAGCCTCTTCTCCAAATATTCGCTCAAATTTACCTTGCCTTTCAATCACTGTGCATCACTTAGCTTCCTCTATATACCATCTCTCCTCCTTGCCTGTTCTGTTCTGATATCAGGTGGAGTGCTTTTGTTTTGTGGGTGCTGGGTTTAGTGTACCTCCCTCATTAGGCTGTGATGCCTTCAGGGCAGGGTCCCCATCTGGATCGACTTGGCACCCCCGAGCATATCGCAGCACCTGGCTCTTAACAGGCTTTCAGTAAGTATGTGTTGAGTAATAAGGATCTAAAGTGGTCTTGATGATTTTTGACATAGACTAGAGAATAGCTGTATATTTGATCTTAACGTTATTAGTATATCTCGGGCATACTGTACTACATACTGTTTTTGTTCTAGCTCTATTATTATAGTTAATCTTTTTGAGCCTCCATTTTTTATTGGGTAAATGAATAAAATACTCATGGATTCAGTGAAGATTAAATGAGTTACTATAGGTATACTGCCTGTACTCAACTGACTTTAATATATAGTAGCTTTATATAATGTCCCTGAAGCTCTTACTGTGTAATGGCCCAGATCTGTGTTTCATTAAAGACTTCCAAGAAAAGGGTCATATACATTCCACTTACTCCTTTTCAGAAGACATTCCTGAAAAACATTCCTGTCCAAAAATGGTTAACAATTCTAAAATATTTTGATGCTGAAAGAGGTGTGCTTCAGATGTCTGGAAAATTTATTTACATGGAAGAGGGGGTTTTTTTGGGTTTTTTTTTAATAATACAGGTCATTTCTATTTTATTTTTCCTGGCTGAAAGGGTTTCATATTTACTCAAAGTCAAAAGGAAGAAAGAAGTCCAAGAACCACAAAAGAGTAGTTTAAGTGATTTATGCTTAATTTCTAACTGCAACATGTGTTTATACATAATTTAAAACTCAAAGAAAGCATGCTTATACAATCGTGTGCAACTTTAAAATTTAATAACTCTGGATGAATACATAATGGAAACAGTCCATGGCACCTGAAAATATCATTTGTGGGACAGCAATACAGTTCAGTGCTCTCAGTTTGGATATTACAACCATATTTCATAGAGCTTTAGCTTGGTTGGATTTTCTCCATGTGGTTGACAATAGCCTACAGTTGCTGGTAAGCGATCTTGTAAATTTTGTGTCTAATCCTGGCCCTACAATTAATTACCTAAGTACTGTTTCTGGCAAGTTAACTTACATATTATGCTCCAGTCATGTACCTTCAAAGTTACTAATGTAACTAACCGCCATAGCGGACAGTGTCAGTATGATTTGTCTCCACTAGAACGATGGCTGCCCCCACGCTACGGAGAACGCTGTTACTTCTAAGAGTAGTTTGCTCTTACAGCGATGGGTGAACTAGTTTGACCTTAATTCCAGATGTGCCTCAAAAACAGAAACATCTCATTCTTCCTCTTTGTAGGGGGTACTTTTAGTGGCACCAAGGCTGGTGAGGAGAGGAGGGGAGAGCACTGGGCTTAGAGTCACACCTGGGTGAAATCCTGCTCAGGTCCTCCCTAGTTGTGTGACTTGGGCAAGCAACTTGACATCTTTGAGCCTCCGAGATCCTGACAGGCAGGGAGAACAGTGCCCCCTTCACCAGGTTGCGGTGAGAGCATGACTTGATTGTGGATACGTATGAAACGGTGTACCTGGCACAGAGGTAGGGGCTGAGTAACACTGCTGAAAGGCTGAATGCATGTAACTCAGAGGCGGCAGAGCATCTCACCTGCCACAGCTGAAGGCACAGCTTACTTATGCCCACGCGAAGAAGTGCAGGAAAAATTCATTTGTTGCATTTTTGCCAGGTTTATAGTATTTGCAAAACAGGGCAGTCTTCTCCACATGTATAAGAGTCAACATTTCCCCAAAACCCATCATGAGGAAATTCTGCATCCTTTTCCATCTCCTCCCCTCCAACACAAAACAAAATGAAATGAGCCATCTGCCAACCAGCAGAAGCAAAGTGGCCAATGATTTGAACCTGTTTGACAGCCCTGTTTTGCCTTAAGCCCCGCCCCACACCCCATCCTTCCCCAGCACCAGAATTGTGATGCGTGGTATGCAGGTGGGGGTGGGGGGTAGGGGTGGGAGGAGGCTGGACAAGTGTGCAGCACCTCATTTTGTTTCAAGCCAGAGGGAAAAGGTTCTGGGAAGAGGCCATGGAAAGAAGCCTGGTGAGCCGACACCTAGAGGGCACAGCTGGGGAAATAAGTTAGCTACTTCTATTGCACGTCTACCCGCAGAACAGGCCCGAGTCTAAATCTCTTCGGCCTCCAGCAGCTCAGAGGTAGCATCGGGCTCCCCAAAAGCCATTTCCACTGACAAGCTCCTCTCCAGGTTCTCCAGCTCTTGGCGCACCTCTTCAACGAAGCCACCATCTCCGTACTCGTCAGGGGCCTCTCGGGGCACCAGGGTCTCTCCGTCTTCGTCGTGGCTCCCGACAAAGGTTGGCTTGCACACATACACCAGGCTGTGGCTGGGGAGAGACAAGAGCTGTGGCTCAGCTGGGGGCCCTGTCGCCTCATGGGGCAAAGCCAGGCTCTCCACATGGCAGATCCTGGGCACGAGGCCAGGCCTGAGACAAAGACATTGCCTTTTGCTGCTGTCGGTAGGGGTCCGGTCTCGCCTTCACAACACCTTCTCTAACATCTCTTCAACAGGGTCTTAACTTCGTGTCAACATCTTACCTTAGAAAAGATTGCTGAGGGAGGGTCACTTTTGGAAAATGGACTCAAGGGGCAGCTCCCCCCACCTCTAGCTGCAGGCCTGTCTTCCTGTGATTGACCGTCTCAGTCCCAGTCTCCCAGGGGCAGACCCAGAGCACACGGGGGTCTGAGAATTTACAGCAACAAGGTGCCCTCTATGCTCTCTGCCATCTAGGCCTCCAGGCAGGAGCAGTCCCTGACCGTGGGACAGGGCCTGACCGCCTCATCTGCTGTGCCTGTGGGGAACCCTGGCCTCGTGGATAGCCCTGGGCCTGTGCTGCAGGGACGGGGAGCTCTGTCTGCCCAGCCACCCTGGATCCTGCTGGGAGAGGGTGGGTAGCGGCTGCTGAGGGTCCAGGAAGACGCGCCCTGAGAAATGTCCATGGCGCAATCCTGATGCTTCATAGTCTCTCAGTAGCCTGTAACCCTGGTGGTGCCCTCCAACCTTGGGGGCCTACTTTCCTGGTTTTCCTCCAACCCCTCTGCCGGCTCCTTCAGCTTGTCCTTGGTTGTAATGGGCCTGGGCTGCCTCCTTAGCCCTCAGCTCTTCTCTCTCCATACCCTCTCCCCAGGTCATGCACTCATGAGTCTTCAACCACCATACAGATGAACCTGACTCTGTACCCCTGGCCATACCTTCTCCAGTCCTAGCCTGATAGGTCTGACTGCGACTGGACCCTCCATCTGGAATACCCAAGCACACCTCAAATGAAACCTATCCTAAACTGAACCCACATGTCCTCCCTGCTCCTGAGACCGCCCCCTGGATGACATCTCATCTGCTCTTGGCCCCTGACAAGAAGGACAGGTGGGGCCTCACCTGTGAGGCTGGCAGAGGAGGCCACTAGCACACGGGCATCGGTCCAAAGCTCCATCAGGCTCCAGTTCCCAGGTGATGAGATCCAGAAGCCGGCTGGCGGGGTCATGGCAGAGCTCACCCTCCACGGGCAGGGGTGTGCACACAGGGAACAACAGACCTAGAACCAGCCAAGAGTCACCCTGTGCCCCAGCAGCAGGGGCAGGCACCAAGGGATGGAGCAGAGAAAGAAGATGCAGCCTCCCACCTTCCACCCTCCCCAACGTGGGGGTTAGGACTGAAGAGGTGGAATGAGAAGAAACGAATGGCAACATGGGCTCAGGAGGGGATGGGTGGGGAGGGCTGGAGCAGTTAGGGAGGACTGCTTGGAAGAGGTGGGCTTGTGCTGGGTTTTGAGGTCCATGGTCTGGAGAAATAAAGAGTGGAAGAAAGGCATTCAAGGCTGGGGCACAGCATCAACAAAGGTCTGGGACTGGACTCGGTGGGAAAGGTTGGGGCAGTGAGATTCCCAAAGGGGCTGAGGAGTGGTGGAGAGAACAAGAGGACAGGTCAGCTGGAGCTGGCCAAGGCCCTGGAAGGTGGAGTGAGGCTGAAGTGACAGAACAGGAGCTCCTGCAGCTCCTGAGGAGTGACACCCAGAAAGCCATCTTTGAGGAAAACTGCAGGAGCAGCAGGTACCAGGAGGACCGAGGGGCTGGGAAAGGCGGCTGAGGGGAGAGTGCCTGAGCTGACCTCACCTGGAAGAGGCAATGAGAAGAAAGTGGGAGCAGGAGGCGGCCGTTCCAGTCATGGGAAATAGGACCAGGGACTGGGGAGTGAGGTGAAGTGGGGTGGGGGAGGGGCTGTTCCCATCCCACCCATCCGGGGCTGTTCTTCTTGCCCGGGCTCAAGTCTCCTGAAGGAATTTATATTTTCTAGGCATCAACAGGGGAAAGAAAAAGAGATGGTCTTCCATCTCAGATGGTGGCCCACAGTCAGGCAGAGGTTGTAGGGCTGGGACACATAGTGAGTGAGCATTTGGGAGCCTGCCTGGGGTGTGGCTGGCATAGATGGGCCCCAGGAGGCCCAGTCTGATAAAGTGAGGGACAGGGCTTGCCCTGCACCCAGAAGGAAGCCACCCACCTTTCTGGAAGGCACAGCACAGCCCAGGCTGGCAGTCCCTCTGGTTGTCACAGATGGTCCCATTGCCGCCTTTGGTGGCTGTTTTGGTGCAGTGACCCCAGACGCACAGCTGGTCTCCACAGCACTCAGTGTCCCGGGTGCAGATCTGCAGACAGGTGGGAAAACACAACAGCCCGTAACTCACAACCTGGGAGAGTCCAGCCTGTCACCGCTCCCAGCCCGGAAAGCCTGAAGGTACCACAGGTGGGCCAACCCACATCCTTCCACTGCACAGAGGAGGACGCTGAGGTCCTAGGTCGGTGGGGTTTTCGTGGAAGTCAAGAGGTGGGAACGGGGCTGGTGAGACAGGTGTGAGAGGTCAGGACACTGGAAAACTTGGCACCTGGGGCTGCATGCACCTGAGTCTTCCCACACAGCTTGAGATTTTGCCTTTAAAAGGCGGTAGCGTGTCTTTGCAGCCTGCCCCGACTTGTGCCCTGCCTCCTTCCTGCTAGGTCCCTAGGTCAGGAAGGAATGTGGCTTAGGGCCCACAGAAGCAGGCAGTGTGATTCTTATACGCTGATTACTTTAAGGCCCAAGCCTGGGAAGGGGTAGATGGGCTGGCACGTGGGCACCGTGGGCCTGGAGTCCCACACGGGGAATGGCAGTTAGAGAGCAAAGTGGGTTCTTCACCGTCATGCTCAATGATGGCACCCAGCAGGACAGGCCACAAGGGACAACAACATCTGCCTAACCACAGATGGGGCCGGATAGGGTAGTAGAAGCCTTATATTTTCCAAACTTGTTATTATGCTGTGTTCTTGTCTTAATAATGAAAAAGGCCAAGAAAAGTCTATGGGCCCATATGGCTTTGTCCAAACATCTGTTGGGTGGAGGGAGAATCTCTGCTCCCCTTATTCGTGCTTCTCTTAAAAAGCTCCCACAGGAAGCATTCTGGCTTCTTCCTGGCCCTCCTGCCGTCTCTGACTGTGAAGATTGGAGCAAGATCTGGGCGATGGGCTGCAGGCCAAGAAGTGGAGAGACTACCCTTTCCCTGCCCCAGGGGCTGCTGCGGTGTTGGTGTCACTGGCTGTGTCTACTGGGATGGGTCTTTTTGGAGAACGGACAGGCGTGGGGCTCCCTCCTCTCCCCCCGACCCCATCATCCATGAAGCAGGCAATGGGGCCAGAAGTCACGGGGCAGGTGGGGATGGCAGCAGGTCTGCAGATGGCTTCCTGCTCAGGCATCATGGAGAACACGTGGAACCCCATAGGAGGTTTCCGGGAAGCCCAGCTGAAAATGGTGGGGAGGCTGGCTTTTTCCCTCAGGGCCCGTTTCTGGACTCCATGGCCCTGGTGCAGCCCTGGAGGCCTCTGGGCACACTCACTGTCTGCTGGTCCCGGCATGGCTGGCAGATGTACTGGAAGCTGGCAAACTGGCAATAACGTCGGGGCCCGCAGTCCTCATCAATGATGCACTCCTGGGTGAGCAGGGAGCAGCTTTGTCAGGAGAGGCAGGTCAGCAAGCCCACCGTGCCGTGGGAAGGGCAAAGCCCTATTTATCCCCAGTCTCGGCCCCACAGGCTCAGGGTGCAGGAACAGTCTATAGACAGCCCTCAGTGCCCCTCAGCCCCAAGTCCTGTCTAGCTGGCCCCTCAGCATCCAACGCCCCCACCACAGGCAGGCGGGGGGCCCCCAGCCACCCAGCAGGCCTGGGCTTCCACCCTTGAGGATGCCACACCCAGTTCACACAATCGCCTCTGTGTGCTGCCTCCCCTCACACACCCAGGGCGGGAGCAGAGACCCAGGGCCAGTCTTCAGCACAGAACAGATGGATTTAATTTAAAAGGCTAATGAGTTCCAGGCCCCGGGTGGCTGCACAGGAGGGGCTGGAGTCCAGGCCCAGCAGGGCCCTGCTGACCGAGAAGGAAAGGGGTGATCACCGTGAGCCCACCTCAGGGTCCTGGGCCTGGGGTCTGGGGCTGACAGACAAAGGCAGCTGCCAGCTTCCCAGTGGGAGCAGCGAGTGGCCGGCATGCGGCCTTCCAGCCCAGGTGCCCTCTCATGGCTCTCAGCCCGACTTGGTTCGAGACATGGGGGAGAGAAGGAGGGAAGGGGCTCTGTCCATTACTGAGGCCCAGAGACAGAAGCCATGGGAGAGACCACCGTGGCCCCGCCACAGGCACCAATCACCAGCAAGAGCAGGGCTGTGTCAGCTCAGGCCGGGGAACTGGCAGCCGTAGAAGGAAAGAAGGGCAGGGGGGGGCGGGGGGGGGCACGATAAGAACCACCACTGAGGACCCCGTCACGGGGCCAGTGCAGGCCGGGCTCTACACTGTAACTCCTCCAGCAGGCAGCTGTGGGGATTACTATTCTCATGCTGCCTACTGGAAAATGGAGGCTCAGAGAGGCCAAGGGGTCCCCCAAGATAGCATGGCTAGTTCTTTCCACCACTAGCCCTTTGGAGAAGGGGCTCAGTGTTCCAGATGCGGCCATCAGAGACGTGTGGATGATAAAGACTCTCCTGAACCTTCCAGAAGGTTCTAGGTGGAGGGAGTGAAGGACCTTCTCCCCTCTATCAGCATACGCTATCCTGAAAGTGGGTGTAGAGCTGGACCTGGAAAGGCCTGGATGGGCAGGCCCTGGCCTAAGTGGCCTAAGCTGGCCCCACTATTCTCTGTGAAACTGACACTGCAGTGCTAACAGATACGGACAAGGAGACTGCCAACGGGGCATTCTGGGGACCCTGGTGGTCCGAGCATGTGGGGAGGCCTGGGGGTCAGCAGAGAGGCCCTGGACAGGCAGCCTAGGCAATGGAGCTCTGTCATTAACAAGTGGTTGGTGTCCCTGATCCAGGCCTGGGTGTCCCTTGGCCAACATTGCAGGCCCAAGAGGGTGGGCCTTTGGTCCAGGCAGCTACAGGCCCGGCTTCTGCACAGTATTGTTGCAACAGCAGCCTTGGTACTGACCCCCACTAAGCAAGGCTTAGTTCTGCTCACTAAGTAAGGCTCGCCCAGCCAAGAAGACCATCAGTCCCACTGGACACCATCTTCCCACAGAGCCCTCTGTAGGACGATGGGGAGGCGGCCAACTTGGAGACAGTGGCAAAAGTCACCATCCTGCACCAGCCAGGCCCTTTGGCTA